GCAGGTGCGGCGCTCGCGTTGCATCGGCCTCCTGGGTGGGGAAAGCGCGTGCTCGCGTCCCGCTCGCAAAAAGGAATCGGGTTCCACCCGTGCCCGGGCTGCGAGCGGCGACGAGAGAGATGGCGGGCTCTCGCGTTCCTCCTAGGAGGAGGCGAGCGTCCAGAGCACGCTCGAGGGCACGGAAGGATGACGACCGGCGTTCAGCCGGCTGCCGGATCTCCGTGCCCGTGGCCTTGTCGGAGGATCCGTCGGAACAATGCAGGAACCCCACCTCAGGCCGTGCCCCGCGAGCGCGTCGGTCGTTTTGGCGAGCGATCGGCGAGCTGGCGTGGTGCGGTGGCTCGAAAAAAGTCCGAGCACCGATGGATCCGTTGTGGTGCTGAACGGAAAGCGCACCCCGACAGGCATGGGGCACCGCCCTGGTTGATCCCAGACCTCGGCAAACGCCCCTAAGAACGAGTGACGAAACGACCGCCCTCGGGTCCTCCGGGTTGCTCGCAACTCGGGGGGACCGGGCGAACCTCCTCTCGCAGGAGGTCAGGTTGCCGTCCCCTCTCACGCAGCGAGCTTATTAGGGCCGCCACCCGAAAGGCTAGCCGCGATCGGGAGCGAGGCAAGACGCGGACACGGTCGGCCTGGGCGGAGGGGTGGCACCCGAAGCTCTTTCCTTCCAGTTCGTGACGAGCCTCGACACCAGGGAATGCAGCAACCCGGCGGCACCGGGCGTCCATGCGGACAAAAAAAAAACTCCCCAGCCCTGATGGAAACAGCTCGGGCCTACCAAGCGCAAGCGAGGGAAGCCCGGGGCCTGACCTCGAGTATCCTCTGAACACCTTTCCTTCCGACGCTCCTCCTCCCAATCCAGCGTCCCCCGCCACCGGTGCTCGGTCTCTCTTGGCATCGGCGGTGTGACTGCGGGGTCTTGCTCGCCCGGCCTTCTGAATTCCTCTAGGAAGGCTCGGGAAGGGGGCGCCCGCGGTGATGGCAAAGGGACCCTTTTGCTACCCCCAACCGTCCCGCTCGCAGTGCATCAAGGAGCTGCGGGCAGAGGCGGAATACAAACCTCTCCGCAACCGGAACTGGCCGTCCGGTCGCAAAAAACCCTCCCTTGAGCGGGGCGCCCACGGGCCCCGGCACCTAATAAAAACTGGGACCCCACTCCTGACGATGGATATCTTGGAACCTGGCTCGATGAAGAACGCAGCGAAATGCGATACGTAATGCGAATTGCAAAACTCCGTGAATCATCGAAACTTTGAACGCATGTTGCGCCCGAGGCCTCGGCCGAGGGCACGTCTGCTTGAACGCCACACACATCCAGGTGGAACCTCGCATCCGAACCCACCCCTCCGCACGCAGCTAAGTGCGGCAGGGGAAACGGGACGGGAAAGCAATGCGGGGCAGACAAGGGGCGCTCGGGTTGGTGTGGGCTCCGGCCCCCCCTTTCTCCGAGACAATCGCTCGTACCTGGGAAAACGAGATGGCCGTCGCAACCCGTGCGCTCCGGGGCACAAATGGGGGGCAGTCGGTTGAAATCGCAGGGCCGCATTAGCCCGTCTCCGCTCCTCTCGACCCCAGTGCAGATCCCCGGGCGCCACCCGGGAGGACGCGAGTGGGACGAGCGAGATGAGGCGGGCGGCGACCCCGCTGGGCTCGGCGAACCCAGCCGGCCAACGGACTCCGTCCGGACCTCCCAGCAGGTGGGGGGCCGGTCACTCGGTCCCTCTTTCTCTCCCGAGACGGTCGCGAAAAGGTTCGGGAGCCGGGGGCGTGGCAACCCCCGGTCTCCCCCTCCAAAGTAGCGCACAAGAACGGGCGAGAGGCGGACGGGGCTCGTACAAAAATGGTCGGACGGGGAGGAACCGGGCAAACCCCAAACGATGGCTTCAAGTCAGGCGAGACCACCCGCTGAATTTAAGCATATTACTAAAGCGGAGGAAAAGAAAACAACCGTGATTCCTTTGGTAGCGGCGAGCGACCAAGGAAAAGCCCAGGCTTGAAATCCGAGGGCCCCCCGGCCCTCCGAATTGTAGTCTGAAAAGGAAGCGTTCTCTGTGACGGGCGCCGCCTTAAGTCCACTGGAAAGTGGCGGCAGAGAGGGTGACACCCCCGTCGGGCGACGACCCGTCACTCCACGAGACGCATCCGAAGAGTCGGGTTGCTTGGGAGTGCAGCCCCAACATGGGTGGTAAGCTCCATCCAAGGCTAAATACGGCCAGGTTTCGGATAGCGAACAAGTACCGCGAGGGAAAGATGAAAAGAACTTTGGAAAGAGAGTAAAAAGTGCTTGAAATCGTCAGGAGATAAGCGCATGAGCCCAAGCAAACCTGCGGGCCCCGTTCGCGCGGGGCCCGGAGGTACGCAGCGCCGGTCGATGCCGCGGGAAAAGGAGCTCGCTCCCACCGCGGCGGAGACCGAGGATGACCCTCACGGGTCGGCGCTGGCGAAACGGGCTGATGCGACCCGTCTTGAAACACGGACCAAGGAGGCCAACGCGGCTGCGAGCCAATGGGTTGGAAACCACAATGGCGACAGTGAAAGCGACCCGTGAGAAGGCGGCCTCGTGCTGCCCGCACCACGGACCGCCCCGGGGGCCTCGGCGCCGGGGTGCGTTGAGTAGTCGCGTTGGGACCCGAAAGATGGTGAACTATGCCTGAGCAGGGCGAAGCCAGAGGAAACTCTGGTGGAGGCCCGCAGCGCTACTGACGTGCAAATCGTTCGTCAGACTTGGGTATAGGGGCGAAAGACTAATCGAACCATCTGGTAGCTGGTTCCCTCCGAAGTTTTCCCTCAGGATAGCTGGTGCTCGATACGTGGTTACGTCTGGTAAAGCGAATGATTGGCGGGCTCGGGGGAGAAGCTCCCTCGACCGACTCTCAAACTTTAAACGGGCGAGGGAGGGCCGCCATCTTAATTGTGGCTGGCTTTCAGGGGTGCTGGCTGACCCCACCAACATGAGTGCCAAGTGGGCCATTTTTGGTAAGCAGAACTGGCGAGGCGGGATGAACCGAAAGCCGGGTTACGGTGCCTAACTACGCGCTAACCTAGATCCCACAAAGGGTGTTGATTGATTAAGACAGCAGGACGGTGGTCATGGAAGTCGAAATCCGCTAAGGAGTGTGTAACAACTCACCTGCCGAATCAATTAGCCCCGAAAATGGATGGCGCTCAAGCGCGTGACCTATACCCGGCCGACCCGGCTGCTGGTGAGCCGGTGCGAGTAGGAGGGCGCGGTGGGATGCATCGAAGCGTGCGCGTGAGCGCGCGTGGAGCTCCCGATCGCTGCAGATCTTGGTGGTAGTAGCAAATATTCAAATGAGAACTTTGAAGACTGAGGTGGAGAAAGGTTCCATGTGAACAGCAGTTGCACATGGGTTAGTCGATCCTAAGAGATGGGGTAACTCCTTGAGAACGGC